CCTGTGGCACGCCAGGTACCCGTCTTTGAGTCATGCGCGTCAGGCAAGTGCGACAGAGCGGGACACGACACCGCGGGCACAGCATGCTGGACTGCGGGGCGCATGTCCTGCAGCGTATATCTTCTGGGCAGCACAAAATGTTCGAGCCGTCGGGCAATTGCCGAACCCACTGCCTGTGCTCCAGGCGCTGTTCGATAGCTGGAATGTTCGCGCACCTGCTGGCATAGGTGTCGTAGCACCAGTTCGCTCGAAAGCTGTCCTCGGTGAGGCTGGAGAACAAGTCCGAGACGGTCTGAAATCCAGTTTCTCCGTGGTTGGCGGCCACGTGGATGCGTGCGCAGCATGCGCAAATCAACCCTTCCATGTGTTGCTCTGCGACTTCTCGTGCCAAGCGGTGAAAAGTCCGTCTGTCTGTGCTCCATCCCACCCGTGGTACTTGTTGCTTCTCTGTCAGAGCTACAGCGGCAAGGTAGTCGGACAGCAACTCGCTAGGGCGCGCCTCCGCAAACAAATCTTTGTGCGCAGTGCTGAGATGCGCACGCAAACACGTCGTGGCATTGCCACAGCAGGTCTGTGGACGTTCGGTCCAGCGCTGTTGTTGCACTTGCATCACCCGTGCGTGTGTCCAATTCGGTTGGCAAGGGTCTTCTTTCGAGCACCAGCGACAACCTTGGATGGCACAGTGCACATTGGGAAATAAGATCCCCGAAGCGTGATCGGCTTCTTGCACGTCGAACCCTGGCAATTTGGGAGGCAGCAGGGGGTGGTCCTTCAAGGCTGCGGCTAGGTTTCGAATCCGTTCCAAATCTGAATCTTCTTTCGTGCACCAGTGGCGATGAGGTTCCACTGTCAATCCCTGATCAAGATCGTTCGAAGACATGGATCCCTCCGAATCCCAAGATTCCACGCTCTCGACGTCTACGTCGACGGCTTCGGCCTCGGAGTCTAGGGCTGCCCCAACTTCTTCATGGATCCCGTCCCAGCAGAAGTTGTCCTCCGGCGCGAGACATGCGGGCTGCGGAGTGTCTTCACACACATGTGAGTCATGACAGAGAGGGCTAGTTGCTGACACGAGCGACGCTCTTGCCACTGGCAAAGCTGAGCTTCGTTTCGGAGGTTGCGAGTCATGACAGGGAGGACTGGTTGCTGTCTTGAGCGACGCTCTTGCAGCTGGCGAAGTTGAGCTCTGTTTCGCTGCGGCTTCGGCCTCGGATTCTGGGGCTGCCCTTATCTCTTCTTGGACTCCGTCCCAGCAGGTGTCGTCCTCCAGTTTAGAACATGCGAGCTGCGGAGTGTCTCCAGAGATTTGTGAGTCATTACACGGAGGGCCAGTCGCTGACATGAGCGACGCTCTCGCCACTGGCGAAGCTGAGCTCCGTGTGTGTGGTTGCGGTGTGCTTCGGTCCTCGGGGGGGGGTGCCTGTGGCGCCGGCAACGGAGGTTGAGCAGCCTCCAACAGCTGTTGGACTACTTCTAAGACGGCTCTGGCACCCTGTGCACGAAAAGCTTCAACGAAAGGCGTGCTTGGGAAGGGGTCGCCGATGTTCTGGCTACGTTCCACCAAGTCGTAGTGGCCGGTGACACCCATGTCTCGATGTACGAGCTCCAACACGGGGCTATGGTGTTGCAACTTTGCGTGCGCTTCCTGGTCGGTGAGGCACTCCATGGACCGGACCCAGTAATTCACATTCGCTTGGGCACCCCAAATGAGACACTCAAAATCGAACTGTTGGGTCAAAGCCCACAACTCCACACCGGCAGAAGCGTGGTGGATCGAGTCTAACATGGCCGGCTGGAGCAACACTGCATGGAGCTTACTAAGTAAGACTACTTCAGTCGTGTTCGAGGGCGCAGCGTTGATGGCCGTCGGCTGTTGTCGAAGGAAGTGCTCATGCAGCTGCAATTCGTCATCGTCGAACGGGACACACGCCGTTGCGACTGCCTCTGCGTGCGGCCCGTGCTGGGCCGCCAACAACCACTCAATGGCTTGCAAATAGATTTCGGCAGCTGCGCCGTGGCCTGAGTGTGTGCTGCCTTTGAAGTATCGGCTCACGGCGTAGAAGAAGCACCAACCGTCTCCCGGCATGTGCACAACATTCGACCGAATTCGCGCTTGCAGCGTCTCGGCAGCGCCAGGATTGCCGTTCAGGGCGTGCTGCTCACGATTTCGGACCTTTCGAGGTAGGTACCATCTCGGTGCCGTCTGGGCTTGGGGACACCCTTTTCGCACGTCTCGCCGGGTATGCAAGCGGAAGCCATACCCGCAGAGATCAACGCAACACACGACGTCCAGTTGCTCGGCACGGCGACAACCAAGAGCACAGCTAAGTTCCCACTTCTGCCCACCACTGACCTCCGTACTCACGGCGTAGAACAGACACCCGCCCTCGCCCGGCACGAGCAGGAAGTAGGCCCGTATTTCGCTTTGCCGCACCGCCTTGCCCTTCGCGGCGTGCGGCTCTCGCCTGCGTCGCCCTCGTGTTGAATCCCCTCGGGCGTGGCCCATGCATGCCGCTTGATAGCCCACTGGGGTCACTGAGGCGCCGTGACATCCGCAGACCAACAACCAAATCCAGCCACACACTTGCAGCGCTGCGCGCAACCGTCTCCGGGCCTTCTGTCGGCGATGTCCTTTGCAGCGCCGACCACCGGCGGAGCGACTCTTTCGGATCCAGCCTTAGCCTTGCTTGCACGAACTTGCTCGGAGTGCGCGCCGAGCTTGCAGGCCGAAGACACAGCCGCAGAGGTTGATGCAAAATAATAGGTCCAAATGCCTTGCAGAGCTGCACAAGATAGCACAGCTGCTAGCCAGAAGCCAAGCGCACAGGAACCAGCGACTGGGTAGAGTCCGACTCCAATGTGTATGCATCGACGCCAGGCACTTGCGCCGCTCACTTTGGAGCGACGCAACGCGGAAAATCCCTTGAAGGAGACAGTCTCCAGATTCTGTTGCATGTGCTTCTTACGATTGGGTTGCAGCACCATGTATACCGACTCCAACCTCTGTGTGGCGTCTGTCTTCTCCCATTACCACCACTTAGAATTCGATGCCATGTGTCTTGCATGTATGCGTGCGCTTGCTAGAGCCATGTGCACAAACTCATGTTCTCCACCCCCGACCAAAACCTACGTCCCCCGGACGGCGCGCGCGCGACCACGCTGTTGCAGGCGCGTGCGCGCGCACTACCCACGCACCCGACCCGAAGTTAGAACGGCCAGCGACACCGAGCGTATGCGAGCTGTCGGCAGAGACTTCGCACAGGTCCACTCAGGCAGGTTTTTCACACGAGTTCATGCGTCCTTTTTTGGGCACGGCTCCAAGTTGTGCTGCGAAATGTGTAGCACAGGGCAAAAAAAAAAAAACGAAAGCGCACATCACCAGACAGCTGCATTCCACATTCACAAGACAGCGGGGGTGCTTTGTTTGTAATTGTTTGTGTGTCTGTGGTTGAAAGCGCACTTCACATTCCACATGCACAAGACAGCCGGGATGCCGCATGTCCCATCCCCCGCGCAAACCTCTGTTCTGGCACGCTTTGTTTCTTCACAAGACAGCAGGGATGCTTTGTTTGTAAGTGTTTGTGTGTCTGTGGTTGACTGCGTCTGGGTGCGAAATGTGTCGCACAGGCAACCAAAAACATGAAAGCGCACATCACCTTCCACATTCACTAGACAGCAGGGATGCCCCAGGTCCCAGCCCCCGCGCAAACCTCTGCGTTGGCACGCTTTGTTTGCGCTTGTTTGTACGTCTGCGGTTTACTGCGTCTTGGTGCGGAGTGTGTGGCACATTCCACAACAACGTGAAAGCGCACATCACAAGACAGCTGCATTCTACATTCACAAGAAAGCACAACGAAAAGCATAACCGCTCCTTTTTTGCTGTCCGCTCGGACTCGTTCAGTCGTTGCGGTCGAAAATAGGTAGCACGAAAAGGGATCGAGCTCGGGTTTTCTTCTGGCGATACAAACGAGGATCGAACGAAGTGCGCACTTGTCAAGAGGCCTGGGAGTCGTCCCTGGGGCTGTGGCCAGCTGGTATGAGCGACGCTCTAGCCACTGGCTTCCAGCTCTTGTCTGGCAGAACTCTGCGTCGGGATCTCTGACACCACGCTAGTCTGCTGGCCATTTCTCTGCGGGGCTGGGTCATAAAACTGTTTCAAAGTACGGAACTAGTTCTTCGAGTACCTCGGGAGGGACAAGTGGTTGACCACGATTAGCAAACATCTGCTGCTGTGCCATGGCTGAGACCGACAGGCAAACAAAAAAGGTCGAGTGTGCTTGGTTGCTCTTGCTCTCTAACGCTAGCGGTCTCCCGGCTTCGTCCTATCGCTCTAACAGTTCGGCACCCACCCTGCGTCTCCAACTTACGGCGTCGACGCCTAGACCCCCAACCTCTCCACCCCCGCCGGCCTCGCTGGCGCATCAACTTGCAGACAATGTCCTTACCAGGGCTGTGGCTGGCTGGCATGAGCGACGCTCTTGTTGCCAGCTGACAGCTGCCGCCTCCCAGCATGCATCGAGCTCCATGTGCCTCCTCTCTCTCCGACGGCTCTCCCGACTTTTGGTTGCTGCAAGCAACCAGGGCAGTCAGCCCCCGTCCCTCGGACGGGTGCTGCCGGGGTGCCCCAAACCCCGGCCCCCCGTCTTCTTCCCGACACCACACCTCGCCCACACCGCGAGCAACGCCTACCGTCGCCTCGACCCCCACCTCTCTTACCCTAGTTCGCCGGCGCCCGGCTGTCAGGCGTAAGCCTTTAAATAAGAACACAACCATTTACTTTTAACACTTTATACACCTTTTTCATGTTTCTTCTGTTGTTAGTTGTTTTCTATCTTGATACCTTTCTTTTTCCCTTCTCTACTCTTCCCTTCTCGTCCCTTCCCTTGCCTTGCCTTGCTTTGCCTGTCCTGTCCTTTCTTCTTTAGTCAACTTTAGTCACAACACTTTTGCTGGGATCCCCCTCTCAAAAAGGCTCGTGTCATCAAAACTTCACTGTCCACCTTGACGACGCTCCCGCTGCACAGTCAAGACCACCGGGCAATTCCCCAGAGCAGCGTCGAACTCCTCAGGATGCCCAACCAGTCCCCGCAACAAATGCATCGCGGTTAACGCCAAAAGGCCGTGGGTTCTATGAGTCCTATCCTGAACGAGTCAGGAGTCTTTAGTGCTAACAAAAGCTCTTCAAGGCGTTTACAAAATGTCGTTGCGAAATCTTCCAGCTCCTCCCAAGTCATGTTCTTGGCAGACCTCAAGCTAAGAGAGTACAGCGACATACAGCGACTGTGCTCTGCTCTGCGCTCTGCTCTTTGCTCTCATTCTTTCCTCTCTGCTCTGCTCTGCTCTGCTCTTTGCTCGCCCTTTTTCAAGCCACATATGCACTCGCAAAGGAACCTACCTCACAGCCCTACCCTGCATGTCTCGGTGCCTGAGTCTCCATGTTCCTCTCTATAGGCGCAGTTGGAGTATTTTCAGTGTCGATGAAGTATGCTGGATATATAGCAGCTTCAGGGTATTTACTGAATTCACATGAATTCACCTATAATGGAGCTCAGTGTCCTGGCCACGCCGGAGTTTGGTGGGTAGTTGCAACGTCAGAGCCTGTGCACTCTGCAGGTGTCTGGACAAAACCTTCCGTTGCGCCTTTGATTATTTACCTCCGAAACGAAGCTCTTTGACCGCATCCGCTGAAGCATAACTTCCTAGGCCTAGGAGTTCGATCTATTACATTGTTTTGGCATAGCGATCTGTTGGCAATGCGATCTGTTGAGGAGGCGGAACTTCGGTGAAACATCTATTAGGCCGTCAAGTCTTGACGGGCCTTAAAAAGGAACGTAAGCCTGTGTGGAGCGCAGCAATTCGAGCGCTACCATCGTGCGAGCACAAGCTCAAGATTGGACAGATTAGACTGATGAAACGCAAAATTAAGGCTTCCATGAACTGTAATCATGGCAAGCCTGAAACTCTGCTGGAGTGCGAGTCTCCAAGATTAGAACACTTTGACTTTTGTGCAGCACTTGCCGCTCTACTGAAAACGATTCAATCGAGTGTCTTGCCGCACGTAGTTCCCTATGACCCGTCGAGCATAGGGATGTCGACGGGCTTCGGAATTGATGGCCCCTTGCCGATCATCCTCGGTCTTTCCGGAATTGATCGCTAGGTTGGAGGCCATCGCTTTTAGGTTTCAGGCCATCGCTAAGCCAGGCCTAGAAAGCCTAGACCCGAAAGGGAATTGTGGCAAGGAGCTGTCTTTTGCTCATTTGGGGGTAGGCCGTGAGAGGTAGGGTAAAAAAGAAAGAGGTAAGAAGCTAGTAGCCTGTGTTTTGTACACAAACATACTAGCTTAAGTGGCTACTAGGCTTGGGACACAAAGGGCTTGGGTTCGCGTAATTGATTTGGTTACTAGATTTGGGGGAACTTTCACCTTTCGACCACATCCGTCACAGCTCACATTTGAACGGCCTAACCGGAGCTGAGGATCTAGGTTCGGGCTCTCGAACAGCTTCTGAATCCGCTCGTTGATCTTCTTGCGCGTCTTGTTCCGAAACTGGAGACTGTGATCGCCCCGGACCCTGACCAAGTCGTGCGAGAGGTGGCAATATGCGCATTCCTCTCCGCGAACACAGCCACCTCAGTCGAACCGCTTCATGTACTGCAAAGTGATTGTGATTGTCTATATACAGTACAAGTCTTTTGGACAAGAAGTTGACTCTTGAACAACCAAGAATTGGAGTGCCATGACACGAGGAGTGGGAAAGAAGACGCAAGGTGAACAAGCGTCCTCGTCATGGCCTTTGTTGTAGCTCCGTCGCGTCTCTGAAGCTGTGGCTTTTCCATCTGGTAGACTCTCTGTCCCCTCACCTGGGTCAGCATCATGGCAGCTCTGAGTCTCAGAATGAACTTTGCAACTACCAGGTTTGCTGTGAACTCCTAGATGAAATTGTGGATAGAATGGGTGTAGATAACCCAAAGACATCATGGGCTTGATCAGAACTTTAAAAAGAGAATGGTTTGCCCATGAAATCAATGAAGTGTTTCGACAGCTGTCTGCATTCTCGGATTTCCAGCCCACCAAACATGAGTCTCATGAGTGTTTTGGAGTACAGCCCTGAACCAATGCTTTTCTGAGTGGCTGCGGCTATCCCCCACAAACTCTGAATCTGTTCTCAGGAAAGCGTTGACCTGCCGTGCTAGTCCTGAGTTCAAGCAAATGCGGCGGATGCGACTGATGACTATTGAGTCACTTTTTTGTTCACCTTCTGACACTTAAAAGTGGACAACTAGCGCTTGGGTGTAGCATGTGGGCTTGGTCTGGGACAACTTTGATCCAAAGACCTATAAGGTATCTGACAAAATATTAACGGAGTGAAAATGGCTTCTGTAACCATCACCTATCTTGATCTGAGAGAGGTCTTGTGTCTTGTACATGAGCAAACCTTCAAACACAAAGTGTCTGGTGCCAGAAGATGTCGATGTACTTCCGGACCGGGTCCTTGGTTCCAGACGCTTGACACTGAAAATCAAACCTGTATACATCAAGAACGGCAAACAAAAACTACAGAAATCCCAAAGCTCTGTCAATCTCCATGCCGTTCCATGCGTGCAGCTTCTTGCAAGTCGAGCTTCTCATCTTGACCCTCACCCTCAGCGCTGTCCATATCGCATGGGAAATAGATGTACTCCAAGAAGATTAATGACAAAGATTGAAACTTCGATGAGCTCGATGAACTCGGATGAGCCCTGTGAGCTCTTGGCTCTTTGAGCCAAAATCCAGCTGCAAGGCCCACCTTTCCGATTCAAATCTTCCCCCACTCAGAAATGGCCTCCACCGTACCAGCAATGGCCTCCACCCTACCAGCAATGGCCTGCACGCCTACTAGCGATGGCCTCCACCCTACTAGCAATGGCCTTCAACCTACTGGCGATGGCCTCCACCCTACTAGCAATGGCCTTCAACCTACTGGCGATGGCCTCCACCCTACTAGCAATGGCCTTCAACCTACCAGCGATGGCCTCTGTTCCAATTGGAAAATTAAATCCATCGAGTCCAAGCTCAAAGTCGGTAGCAAGCACAGGCGAGCCGAAGTGCTTGAGTTGTTGCAGTGGCGCAAACAAGTGTAAAGCCAAAGCTAAGAATTCTCTTTAAGAATTCTTTGCACCCTCCTTCCTCCGAATTTTGACTTTGAGTTAAACGCCGCACATGACAGCATGCAAACTGATACTACGTGCCACGGGGGAGCAAGACCCACAAGAGCCTACGGGCTGGGCAACTGCTCTGCAGCGATGGTAAGGTGAGTCTACTTTAGTGCAGCACATACAAGACGCAAGTGCGCAACGTGAACCGCAGACAGCAAGCACCACAAACGTGCTAGCAAACACGTCTACAAGTGGACCACAAACATGAACCTTGCAAGTCAGACGACTAGCACACAAGACAGGAGACCCCACACACGACTAGCAACCCCTCCCACCTGTCAGACACATGTCTGCACATCTAAAAATGTTAAGAACTCTGTTCGACTTGCTTGCTGCAGTGCGCTGGCACCTCCTACAGGCACGAGAGAAAAGTAAAGAAGGCCAAAGAGGCTTGTGCAAAAATGAGCACGTGTGAAGTTGACATGATTTTTGCAGGGATCATCAACCTGAGACCTTCTGCAGTCTTGGAAATATGCCAAAGTAACTGCAAATTGGCATGTGACATTCGTGAGCCCTTGCAAGTAGCTGAAACATAGGAGTCAGCTGAGCACCTGTCAAGCCATTCACTGAGATGACCTCGTCGTTCGGCAGCAGTTCAGCAGCGGAGAACACCACTACTTTGGTGGCACCACTCCTGGCGCTCAGTTTTGGCAAAACACTAGGCGGCTGGTCTGGACTCCAAAGCGCCAAGCTTTTTGGCGACGTTTTGAACACTGAGACTTATGACGCTACTAGGGGCTCCTGGCATCGCTACTAGGAACACTAAAGCTACTAGGGGCTCCTGGCCGTACTAGTAGGAACAAGAAGCTACTAGTAACAAAGGGCATCGCTACTAGGAGCAAGAGGACGTTGGTCCTGTTGAAGTCAACTTGGCCCTCATTGAGGGTCACAACTTCCTGCTCAAGCTCCCGTTCTCGGGCTTCCTAGACAGCTGTCGGCTCAAACGACGGCCCCGCAAACACATGCAAACACATCATTGTATGATTCACACAGCAACCTTCTTCTCATTCAAAACTCATCTCACAATCGTCCGTCTGTTCATTATGTTCATTCCTACGCTCCACACAGACTCCACAGTCCTCTTCAGGGTTTGCAGCCGCACTGGCCATGCGCAACAGCGCCAGCTCCGCATCCCGTTGGCGAATTTCGCCCAGCAAACCATCCGCAAGCCGCAGCTGCTGTGCCTGTAAGCCAGCGATTTTCGCCTCCGCTTCGGCCAGAGATTCCCGCAGTTTCTGGGCCTGAGACGGCTCAAAAAAGAGACAGAGAGTGACACGACTGCAACAGCATAGTCAAACATTGAATCAGTTCTTCTCATCGCATTCTTAAGTTCTTCTTTTCCCTTCACACTATAAGTGTATTGTGTTTCCTTTCCGTCTTTTTCGAGGTGTCTATCTCGAATCTCGCCTCCATCTCAGCCTTCCGTGCCCGCTTGAGTGCCTCGGGCAGCTGCTGTGCCAGCGCCTGGCGATCTTCAACTCTGACTGCTTTGAAACCGCTTGGAATACACTTCAGAGCTCTGCAAATACTCAATAATACGCTGCAAAATACGAAGTAGTCCAACACGCCTCAGAGGCTTGGGCGGCTTGCTGCAAAAGCTCTGCAGCAGCGCGGGCCTCCAGTTCCGGCGTTCCATTTATGAACTTCATCAATGAACTCACCAAAGAACGGGGACCCAAAAAGAAGAAAACACACACACGATCTCTACAAGAAGTGGACAGGTGAGGCGATTTGAGGTGCCTCCTTTTCTGCATCTTCTTCTGGAAGAGAAATCATCTCCTGGGTCGACGCAAAGTCCCCAACACATTTTTGGGGGGACATCTGCTCCCACAAACCGGATAAAACGTGAAGGAAACGCGTTCGGACAACGAAAAGCAGGGAGTCTCCGACGGTGCCTCCAAGGTTTGCATGGGAGTCTCCGACGGTGTCGCAGGCATAGTCCCAGGTGTAGTCGCAGGCTCCTCATCCAACAGATCTCCGATGCGCCTTGGAAAGAACATGAGTTCAGGAGTGCATAAAGCGTCACTGAACTCCATGTGCTCAAGCTGACAACATGAGTTCTCGGAGAATCACCGGAGGAACTGCATAGCTCAAGTGGCTCCCACGCTCCGGGGAATTTGCAGTGATAAGACTCGGTTCTTCGGACTTTGTGGTGACTGTAGTCTGAGTATCTTCGTCTGTAGTGCTCGGATCATGGTTGCAATGAAGGTGTTTGTATACGATGTGCAGAGGAAGTGTCGTCAGCATTAGCTAATAGACCGCTGCTCCTCCATTAGTCTTTGTTCTGGTGTCTTATCATGTCCTATTGTGCCTTATCTGCATCTGGGTTCAAACAGGAAACGCTGCAGAAGCGCCAACAGTTCAAATGATGCAAACCAAGCCCACAAAAAGCAAATGGCACAACGATGTGTGTGTGTGCGTGTGTGTGTGTGTGTGTGTCCATGAAGGGACAAGCAAAGGGCTCTGGATTCGAACTCCAAAAGAATCTTTCTGCTCAGCGCAGTCACAAGAGAGACGTGGTTGCCCAGCTGCACTAGGACGACATCTGTGGGGTCGGGATCCATCAGCAAAGGCTAAATCCAATGGCAAAAAAATAGGCTGGAGGCCATTGGAGGCCTAAGAGTGAGGATCCCCGGCTTGAGCCTTTACTCACCAGGTAACGGCCTTCATACAAAGCTGACTGCCGCAAGTGATCAAGAATCGGAGCTGCAAGAAATATCACAAACAGAATTTGGCAGTCAGCCTCTGCTCGTCACCTGATGAGACTGTAAATCAAAGCCTATGAGCCTTTCAATACCAATGGACAGTGACAATGACTCCAAGACCAGGGTAAGAGTACACTCAGGCCAAAGGAAGATCCGTCATGTTAGGCTCGGAGGCCATCGCTACTAGGCTCGGAGGCCATCGCTACTAGGGTGGAAGCCATTGCTATTAGGCTTGAAGTCTTAGATCTAAGGCCCATGCTCTCAGCCAGGTGACTGGCCCTGGCCTTTGTCAAACCTGGCCCGAAGCAAACGGCCCTTCTTCAAATCATGACGGCACTGTCACAACACGCACCTTGTTCTGCTTGCGCCAGCCGCGCCAGCAGCTGGGAGCCACGCAAAAAGAAGTCCCTGCGAGCAAAAAACACAGCACATTGCAGGAAGGAAAGGACTGTCAAAGCTATTTCACTACTAGGCTGGAGGCCATCGCTATTAGGTTCCTTTTGATCTTTTGCAGGAAGGGAAGGACTGTCAAAGCTGTGGGCCCATCCCTCCTTTCGCGCTTTCTCTCAGCCTCAAAGGGCTAGGATGTTTGTGGGCCGAGTGGACCCTGTGGTGATAATCAGGAGCCCCTAGTAGCATTCTTGCTCCTAGGCCAGGAGCCCCTAGTAGCGTCCTTGCTCCTAGTAGTAGACAGGGTAATATGCTAAGTTTGGAGCATCCCGAACATGTCATGAAATCAGGCTGAGTCTTGGGCTTTCCCCAAGCGATCTTCGTGCGCCATTTGTTGACGGTTCCTTGGACGCCGACGATTTGCTTTTGTATGGTCAAGCGCAAAAGAAGCCTACGACACCAAAGAAGTAATGAAAGAATTGTAAAAATATCTTGTAGGTTGGAGGCCATCTACTAGGAACAAGAAGCTGCTAGGGGCTCCTTGCATCGCTACTAGGAGCAAGGACGCTACTAGGGGCTCCTGGCCTTACTACTAGGAACAAGAAGCTACTAGGAGCAAAGGCCATCGCTTCTAGGAGAATCATAGTGATCTTTGCTCCTGGCCACCGTTCAAGCAGCTTCTGCCGATGCGATGCACGGCTCTGCTCTGCTCTTGCCTTGGGCCAAGCAGTGTCGGTGGCGCTGTGTTGGAGGTCCAGTGGAGGGTCACAGTTCTGATGGTCTCGGCTTCATTTGATCACCACATATCTCATTCAAGAAATAATAAAGGAAGAAAGGTCTAAATGCTATATACATAGAAACTGTAAAGTAATTCTACGACACCTCACATGATGCATTTGCCCTCCCGTCTCCGCTTTGACCACCTCAACACCACTGGGCTGCCAGGCCAAGCGGACCTCCCGGACATCCCGAGGCATCCCGGCCTGCCAAAGCCATGGTCAAAAGGATTCAAAACGAGTCCAAGTGCAAATCGAGTTATCACGTCAAGTTTCTACCTTGCTCCTTTGGAACGTACCACAATCTCCTTCTGAATGCTTATATAGATATGACTTGGGACCTACCACTTTTGACAAAGAACTTTGAGGGGGGAGGTTGTTGTCGTCAGCTTCCAGGCCTCAGCCTCCACATCCAATAATGTGTTCCGGAGTGCTAGCCAGGACCTTCCACCAAATGGCGTTCACGTCGCTCAAGACTGCAAAATGGATCAAAGTGGACAATTGAAATTGATTGGACGCCATGAAAAATCATCCACACAACTAGCCGCAAACCTCTCTTGTTCAATCTTTTTCCATCGGCCTCTCTTCTCTCAGCGAAGGAGGACCTGCCCTCTCTGTAGCACGCAAGGCCTCGGGGAAGAGATTTAGACTAAAATGCATGGCTCCTCTCGCACTTGCGCAAGTAAGTGCATCTGTTGGTAGATTCTCTTAGGTTGGAGGCCATCGCTATATGAAACAAAGAAACATGGAAAGGGAGAAAGGTCTAGTAGCTTCTTGTTTCTAGTAGCGATGCACTTGTTACTAGTGGCTTCTAGCTACTGAAAGGTCCAAATATACTTTGCTACTCAGGTCCAACCAAGTCAATATCTCTCCGTCATCCGGCCTCCCGTGCCCGGTGGAGTCGCCTTCGATCGTCGGTCGCACCGTCTCGATCTGTCTCAAGTCTCAACCCATCTCGATCCGTCTGCACTCCGCGAATCGAAGGCAGTGACCTCCAGGCATAAAGAGCGCATCGAAGACTCACCTCGCGGACCCGGGGCGATCCAGCGCTCGGAACTATATGCCTTCCACGTGAGCGTTCGTCGAGAGGCTGTCATAGGCATGTTTATAGGCATGATTAGATATCTGCAAAAGCTTCGATACTGGCCAGATAGGGCCAGCTGGTCAGATATGGAAGGGACAGGGATTGCATTTTTTCATGGTTTGAGAGGCCCTTATTAGATCTTATTGGCACACTTAGATCGCCCCGGTTCGATGACGAATCTTTTCGATCCTGCAGGGTTTATGGCCAGGGGCCAGCTGGTTCCCTAACATGCCCGGAGCACCTCCTTGGGCTAAGCACTCCTATCGCCGCACACAGCACCGAACGAGAAGACAGATATTCTTCGTAAAAAATCAAAGAGTGTTCGACTTTTTGACTTTTCGACTTTTTGGAAAGGTCCCCCTGGCTGCAAACAATTTTTCAACCTTTTGACGTTTCTAGTTTTGATTGTTTGATGTTTGCAACTTTTCGGAAAGGCTGCCTGCACGCTGGAGACAACTTTTCGACCAAAAACAAACTACAGGTTGGTCATTGTGTTTTTGTTTGGCTTGGAACAGTGCTTGGCGACTGCCTAAGGCATTGATTGATGTGCTGTGTGCAGGTCCGGACCCTAAGCTTCACTGACGTGCCGTCATGATATGAAGCTGCGGCTCCGAAAGCCACTGAGGATGGTTGACGAGTCGTGTTCCGAGACAATGACCACAACCACGACCACAACAACCACAACACCCCCCGTTTTCTCGTGCCCCTGGACCTTCTTTCTGGCACCTGCCACTGAACTCCCTGCTGGGCCCCTTTGAAAAAAAAAATGAAAAGAAAAACTGTCTTGCACACGGCCTGGTTTGTGGCCACAAAGGTTGGCGTGCTCAGAGGTTGCGCCACCCAGCGGCCCAGTCTGAACCTGAAGAAGGGAGCTTGCCTAAACAAAAAACTAAGTTGTGGCAAGTATATTACTAGTAACAAAGGACATCGCTACTAGGAGCAAGGACGCCACTGGTAGCTCCTGGCCTTACTACTAGTAAAAAAAGGCTACTAGTCTGTCTTCATCCGCTCCGCGGCCTTACTGCTAGACGCAAATCCAAAGCCTTCATGAAGGGCAATGCCTCAGGTCGATCTGGAATACTTTTTGTCTCAATGCAAGTGAGTGTCCAGTTATTCTTCAAGTTTTGTGTCCTTACTTGCCTTCTTTGCAAAATATCCTAACAACTAAAAGCAACCACAGGGCGCAACGACGGTGAACATAAATGAAATCGACGTACAAAGTCAAAAGCGAAAACGTGCTTCTGTCTGACCCCTTAGAAGTCCAGTCCTTCTTGGGAATCCTTAGAAGTCCAGAGCGCACCGGAGTCCAGGCCTCCTTAGTTTTCCCAAAAATTGAATATATACTGTTGGTTCACATGTAGGTTGGAGGCCATCGCTCTTAGGTTGGAGGCCATCGTTACTAAGTTCCGTTTGCTCTTAGGTTGGAGGTCATCGCTTCTATTTGTGGCCTTCCCTTAGGTTATCGACTAGGTCTTCGACTCGATAACCACTTGCGCCGCTCGCTCCGCCTCTTGTGCCGCCGCTTGCTGCGACGGCTTTCGGTCGTATTCCAGGCCTCTGTGACTGCGCAAAGCATCCGCTCCTGACGAAAGAGTGTCACATCGCACATCTGTCCTTCATATTTCTTTGAGTCCTTTTTATGTATTATTGTTATTTGATTTAATTTATCTTCTTTGTCTTCCTCTATTTTCTCTTTAGACCGTTCATTGTTTCTTTGTTCTTTCATCGGTTCCTTTGGAATTCCTTCGCAAAGTAAACCGATCACACTCTGTGCCTCCATTGAACCCCACAAAGATCGAACACGTTGAACCAGGCGCAAAAGCTCCTGTTAGCGTGCTTTGATTGAAATTGAACTGAAGGAGAGGTCTTACATCCCAGTGCAAGCTCGCACACAGCACAAATCCTAATTCTTGTGGTTTCTGTTTGGATCTCGCAGAGCTCTGCTCTCCCTCTCCCTCTCCTTGCGATAGCTCACAGCGGTCCAAAGGTCGCGGCTCTTCCGCGAGGTGAAGCGCAACATGCCCAAACAGGCCACAGCGTAGAAGTAGCGCTGTGTGGGCGTGAAGCCCGAGACAACCTTGGCCCCAGGGCCGTTCCGGTCTTCCCCTTCCACCTTTGCAGTCATCTAAGGGCCGTGCACCTTTCATCTTGGAGCCCTTGGCCAAGCCCTTGGGAGACAACTGGACACTAGGTAGGAGGCCATCGCTATTAAGTTGGAGGCCATCGCTACCATAGTAGCGATGACCTCCAACCAGGGCAAAAAGCTCAAAGTGGCACCACCCGCCTCAGAACGTCTCGAGGACTTGATTCGCAAGGCCTCTGCAACAGGAAAGAAAAACAAAACTTTTAAAAGCTTCTCCGCAAATGTCTGAAAATGGACGCTTCAACTTTTGCACCTGGGTCTTCTTCTTCACCCGACATCGACCTCACAAAGTCACAATGGGGTCTCCCTCCCCAGTGTCGGAGTCCGAGAGACAAACGGACAAGCGTGCGCTGGCAACGGTGACGCAACATCCTGACAATTCCCGAACGCCACTAGGAACAAGTGCATCGCTTCTAGTAACAAGTGCCTTACTAGTAGTAACAAGAAGCTAGTAGAAACAAGTGCCACGCTACTAGGAGCAAAAAGCAGGTCAACACCGTCACTCCAGAGCTGACAAACATCTTCAGGCACGTGTCCATTGCTCCAGCGCCACTCGTTGTGGCTGGCTAAAGCTCTGCAAGGCCTCACAGAACGATCCTTAACCCACGGATTAGAAGACCACCGCCCTGCCTGACGTCGAGCTTCCGGAGACAACAGACTGAGCTCTCGGACAATTCGGCCTTGGTGAAGTCTTTTTCGCCTCTTCGAAGAAAAGGAAGGACGTTGAGAAATGTCTTTAAAGCTCTTCCTTAATCGATAGCTAACGTTTCTATTTGGTTCTGTTCGATCAAAAAACATCAAATCGAGACTTTGAGTTTCCGTGCTCAGTAGCCCATCTCCTCAGCTGATTTTTCTTCGACTCACTCGATCCACTCCTAACTCCGAGGCTGTGGCGGCGGCGAAGCCACATTCTCACGTTCTCTCTGGCCTAACCCACATCGAGTCACTCGAGTCTCCATTGGTACCTGTTTTTTCTCTTTTTTGTCCCCTAAAATGTGTCTTTTTAGATCTGTCCTTTTTTCTTTCTCAAAGAACATAAATCATGAAGGGACCGATGGGTCGACGCTGAAATTGTCAGAATTCCCAATCTGCCTTGGATCTTTGGTTGCAGATGTTTTTGGTGGACTTTCGCTTCATGCCCTTCGTGCCGCTGGTGTCACACATCTATCCTTCGACAGAAGGGTGCGCTGCGCAAAGCTGAAGAGTCAAGTGCAAAAAAAATCAACAGGGTCAACAAGAGGCTAGTAGCGGCTGGCCTCCAACCTAATAGCGATGGCCTCCAACCTAATAGCGGCTGGCCTTCACTCTTCTTCTTCTTCATTTTCTTCCTGGCCAAAACTCTCCGAGTTCTCCCAATAGGACGCGAGCGGAGCTCCATCAAAGTGTGTTCGCGGACTGGCAGGGCGACTGAGGCCCCAGGCTTCTTCTTCGCGTTCTTCCCATTCTTCTTCCTCTAAAATTCAGGAAAGCTGTAGAAGACAAATCCAGACGAAACGTAGATTTGGGTCAACTCGTGTCAACTCCAATCAACCCCCAATTTAGAAGTCACGCCTCCACTGCCTCGCGAGCCTTGCAGTGTGTGGACCTGAGGCAAAAGCAATGCAAACAAATGTGAATAAGATATGATAAATCAATTTGGGTATCTGTGGATGAGGTTCTAACAAAAGAAAGCTGTCAAATATGTTCTTTGCTTTCACTTGCTCAGAATATTGTAGCCAACAACAACGGAAGGCGGACTTCAACCCAAGTGGCTGGAGGAGCAAGACAGTGGTGCTGAGAGACTGTCCTGACACAAGCGATAGACTTAGAATCGAAGGAGTGGCGGACAACGGGCCTTGGCAGGCGGACATTGTGGCGAATGGATAGGTGAAAAGAAGGCCTGGAGCAAGTTTAGAAAAATTCTAGGCGCTACGGTGCTCCTGCACTATTAAATGCCTTTGAGTCTGTTGTTGGCAATTGCATCTATTCAAGTCGAAGCCCGTGGTGAATGTACTGCAGACCAAGGCACGAGGGCAAACGAGCCTGTGCAATGCACGCAGTGGCTGGGCCAAAGGGGCATCGATTGCGGATGACGCCAAGCCGAAACTGTCAAGCCTTTGTCGGTAAAGTATATACATGCGTATAAATAGACCAAAAAAGGAGAACAGAAACAACAATTGCTTGAGGCATTCTGCATCCGTTGACTCGCAACGAAAGGCAGTCCAAACAGACTCTTTTCACATCTTGTGCTCCAGGCAGTGATGTTCAGTGGTTTCTTTGGCAAAGCAATGACATTGAGCTCCACCCTTAGCCACAACTTTAGACAGCTATGGCCGCTTCAAAGTCATAATTTGGAGGTCAACTCTGCACAAAGTGGGCCTTGGGAGCCTTAACAGATTTGAATGGCTTCAACAGCCCGTCCATCTTGATCGTTGCTCAAGCTACGTGTTTTCAAAAGTTTGCAAAGGCCACTTTGGGAAGACAAGGCTGAGCAACGTTGCTTTCGGAAAATCACATCTGTTCGCTTGCAAGACATTGCTCATCTTGAACAACATCTGCAATCTTGCATCAATTTCAGTCTCAATGAGACTCATCTGTGCCATTTTCCTAGCGGTGGTGTCGGTGTAGTTAGTCACTAAGCACACCCTAGCATCTTGACCCCCTTCAACCCTCTTGATAATCATGCGAATCACCAGGCCTGGTGCCCCTCTGCGCCATCTGCAAACGACGAGATCAGCGCACTCAGGGCCTTCTCCACCTCCTCCAGCTTTCGATCGCCCAAGAGCTGTAGGGGTGCCACTGAACCTGAGACTGCCAATTGATGTCATTCAACTCATGTGCAACATGGGAACTTGCACACCATTGAAACAGGGATTTCCTCGCAACATCTTCCGGCAAGTCCCAGGTCTGAGACTGAAGCTTCTTGGCTGAGTGCACTAAGCTTATGGAAGTGGAGAAAATGAAAAGATGAACAGCACCAACTAACTGCAGGTGCTCGAACAAAGAAGGCACAAAGGTATCTTGACGACTTCAACTGAGGCCAGCGGCAATTCTCTTCCACGTAGGCACTCCCTTCTGTCCAGTTCGACTGGCCATTCACCTGTACGCCTGGAGAGAAGTGAATCTCCACACCTGAGGAAATAGAACAAATTTCCATCGATTGCCATCGAGAAAACTGCCGTATTTGTTTTTTTTTCGTTTGTTTTTTTTTTCCGTTTGTCCAATCCATCCTTTCAATCGATCTCTTCAATTTGCAAACTCGTTCGGCTGAGTCACGGAAGTCACCTTTGCCCTCGGAGAGGAGACACACGGCCCACAAGCAACGCACGGTGAAAGCACTTAAGGAACTTAAGGACTGCAAGCAAACGAAGCACGGCTTACTTCATCCATCTTTTGGCAATCCTACCAGGACGTACCACGTAGCTGGCTAGCTGCCATCAAGCTGCTCGCTTGCGATTGTGGTTGTTGCGCCTCAAGCGAAGGACGAGTTGAACTGTGAAGGACGAAAGCGTCTTTCACGGAGTTTCCTCAACGAAAGCTCAAACGTCTCACAGCACCGTTTAGAGTTTGAACTGAGGCGCTGGTAGCAGCGGATCACCTTGGCTGGCTGAAGCGCTTTGCTGTGGCTTCGTATGACGATGGAAAGGAATGACTTGCCATCACTGTTTTTCCACATTGCGCCATATGGCCAACGTGCGAATGTGGAGCCTGTCGACTCCCGGTCCCTGGATCTCCTCCGGCACGCAACCTTTTCAGCAGCCGGCGTCGGGGGCCATTTGGCCAAGTGACATGAGCTCAAACCCTCCCTTGTCTTGAGGCGACGAACCGACACAATGCCAAGGCTCAAGAACATGACATGCAACGAACCGTGAGGTTTTCACTGCTCTTACTTTCTGTTGGCTTGTGTCGCAAGGGGGCATTGTTCTGTAGGTCGTCCTCTGGGAGGTGCGCCTCTTTGAGGCAAACAAATGGGTCTGATGCCCAAAGACGAAGCTTGTCGCGAAGCTGGCGGTTTCTCTTCGTGAGGCCATCTGCAATCATCTGTTCGGTGGGGATCCACTTGAGGTTCCGGCACGTGCCGCGGAGCCCTGCTATGTCCAGCTCCACTCGCTTTTCAGCGAAACTTGTTGCAAGGCGGTGCACAGCATCGAAGAGCGATCTTGCATCGCAGACAGGGTGAATGGGGAATGGAGACTTGGCCGAGTGTGCCGCAACATATCCAGGCACCATCAATTCACCCATCATGCAACCGACGTAGTTGCTTTCGTCCTCACAGCGGTCCAGCGAAGCTGCCTCAGCTGCCAGGGTCGAGCGTAGGACTCTCTGATGCCGGAAGGAGCGCCACAGCAAGAGAGAAGCTAGATCTTCTCCTTCGAGGGCCTTCGAGGTGGTGGCGGTGATGATGCAACCACCTTGGGACTTGTTCCCTGGCGCGTTCGCGAACGCTGAATCCCCGTATCCAACGATGATGAGGTCGTTGAACTCGAAGGGGCGGATCTTGATGTGGGCGTCAGCAGTCGCTTTGACGTACTTCAAAGCCTGGTTGGCTTGTTGAAGATCTCCATGCGTGAGCTCGGAGACCGAGCGCTGCAGCAAGCTTGCGTCCGCCGCAAGATCTGGACGCGTCGTTCCAGCCAGCCACTGCAAGCTTCCGATCGCTGACCTGAAGTCTGACAGCGATTCTTTGTTCAGCTTCTCCTCAGGGTCGGCACGGTCCTTGGTGATGATCACCTCTGAGGCGTAGTGGGATTGGCTCATGGTGATCGTGCCGTCGGCGGCCTTTACGATGCGCCTTCCAATGAAGACAAAGTCATTCTTTTCCCAAGCACTGCCCCATGCAAAGCTCTTCTCCACGTTGGTGAGGATCTCAGGATCGTCGCTGATGCTGCTTGCGATGATGTCATCGACGTGGATGCCAAGGACTGCGACCACAGTGTTTGAGCTGTCTTTGAAGAGGAACAGGCATGGGTCTAGGCTGTGCTTTGTCCAGCCAAGCTTCAACAAGGCGTCCAGCACGTGGAGGTACCATTGCCGTGGCGCATTCGCCTGGCCATATACTGGAGCATGTAGCTCGTACAAAAGGTCCTTGTTGGCTGACCACTCAGGGATGGCCTTCAGGGCGATGGAGTCCTGAGGGATCTTCATGTAGATGGCGCAGGGTCGTTCACGATCAGGCTGACCTTGGAGGAAAGCTGACTTGCAGTCTCCGTTGACCAGGTCGGCATTGTGGGAAGCGGTCCACTGGAGTATGGCCACAAGCCCTGCTTTTGACAACACAGGGGCGTCACGGGCAAGGAGTGGTAGATGAGGATCACGAAATCCTTGGACCACAATGCGAGCCTTTGCCTTGAACCAGCTGCCTCCATCCATAGGCTTCCATTTGTAGCAGATGCGAGCTGGCAGGATCAGCTTGCGGTCGATCTTGCTCGTGTCACCAGTGAAGACCTGGCAGGAGGACCACTTCTTCCATTCAGACCATTCTTTCACAACGGCCTCCACGAAGTCGGGAACTTCTTGGGCAGGAATGGATCGCCATGGGATTTCTCGCTTCAGCGCTTGGCGCTGGATTCTCTGCAAGCCACCATCTTCTTCATCCGATGTCTCTGGCAGCTTTTGGAAGTTGGCGTTATAGGTGAGGTAGACCTTGGTGTTATTGCCGTTGAACTCGACTTCACCTCTTGCCAGAGCTTCGTGCCATTCGGTATATTGGCTTGCTTGCGAGAAAACATGTGCAGTCTGACATAGCGATTGGAACTCTTCAGGACTGCCATCCCAACCACTCCTGGAGCAGGCATCGCGACCGTGTCGGAGAAGCCACACTTGTGTTGTTTGGTGGTGACCGTAGAGGTTCTTGTGTTGCTTCATTGCTCGTGGGCTCAAGCGTCGTCGACCACGACGTGCAGAATGAAAGATCACCACCTTCTTGTCGAGCTTCTTGCCATTGTTGCCCTCGTCGAGGTCATCCAGGGCATAGTTGGCCAAAGTGGTCCAACTCCATCTTTTCTCACACGCGTTCCAAACAGAAACGCTCTGCAAGGTTGACCCCGTGGTACTCGAGGTTGATGTCTGGCCTTGTAGTCGTTGGACTTCATCATCATGCCAGACTCCTGTGTTCCAAATCTCCTGGAGTTCATCTTGTCCTGGTAGATGAAGGTCGTCGGCATTGACCAGCAGGTTGTTTCTCCAGGTGTGTGTTCGAGGGTCAAACTCCATGTCCTCATCTCGAGGGCCTTGAACTTGATCAAAATGATCAGTAAAAACATCGTGCAAACATCGCCGGCATTGAAGTTGTCCTGCATGCACTTGCTTCTCAGTGCTTCCGCAGAATTGGCAAAAGGTTCTTGCACTCGTGAGGTGTGTGTCGTTCCCCACGATCAAATTCGACGAGGCGTCAGCCTCCTGTGCTGCAGAAGTGTCATCGCGAGCTCCTGCACTGGGTAGAGGTTCAAGCGGAGGAGGTTCCTCCAAGTCCTCATCATCTTCTGGTACTGCTGGAAGATCAGCAGGTAGGATGGTCTGGATAGACCTGGCTTGTGAAGCTTGTGAGGTCTGTCTTGCAAACTCCTCAGCTTGAGGGAATGGTGTCACCGAGGATCGCCTGGACATAGGCGGTGATGAAGTTGGTGTAGTCTTCATTCTTTTCGGTGGCATCATCTTCAGTCTCTTGAGGTCAGGTTCGGAGGATGATGTCGCTCCAGATGCTCTTCGTGTCATGGCCTCACCGGCTGGTGCTTCAACAGCAGGTGGCACAGGTAGTCCGGCTTGAACGGAAGTGTCAGGCTCATTTCCCAAAGGTTGTCCCTGAGCATCAAGGGGCGCATCATGGACCACAGTGTCAGTGGTCTCATCTCCGTCTCGTGGTAGGTCGGCACCTTGAACTTGTCCTTGACCTGGTAGTCGTGGTACAAGGTCAGGTACCGGTAGTTCAGCTGCTTCTGCTGGCGGTTGGTCATGTAGAGCAGGACCGGGTGCTGCTGGAGCCTGGCCTCGTTGGTCATGTTGACCGGCGTGCTTGAGAGAGAGATCCTGCTCAGCGCGCTTGAGGAGCTCGAAGTCAGCCTCTCCAGGGATCCAAGCCTCTTCGCCGCGCAAGTGGCGAAGTTGTTCTCTGGCAACCTGAACCACTCGTCCACGGTCGTTCCGGATCCAAATCGATCCTGTGGGACCTGGATCTGCAGCAAGAACGATTCCCTGCCGGTAGCCTGGCTGTCCTCCTTCAGCATCGAGCGGGTTCCTCAAGCGCCAGTAGGCAACCTTCTCACCGACCTGGAAAGGTCCTCGCCAAGGCCGGCTCTTCCTCAACATGGCCGCCTTCAAGGCGGAGTTGTTTTCCAGCTCAAGGAAGTGCTGCATGGCGTTGAAGCGGATCTGTTCGATCTGCTGGAACTGTTGGCTGAGGCTCATCTCCATGGCTTCTGGATTCTCGCCCTCTGACACCAGTGAGGTGGGAAGACGTGGGTTGCGACCAAAGACCCATTGGCATGGACTGGCACCACCTCGTCGAGTCAGGGAATTCTTGGCGTGGGTAGCCATGTTTGCTGCAAGGACCATGGACTCGGCTCCAAACAGACCAAACTGGTGGATCAGGCGCATCATGATGTTGCGGGCTATTGAACCATGTCGTTCAGCCTTGCCGAGCTGGTAGTGTGCGTCTGGTGGAATGTAGCGCACAGCAACTCCATGGTAAGCCATGTGGTCTTCGAACTGACTGCTCCTGATGCCGCCTTCAGCATCTGCCAGGATGTTCTCAGGGGCTCCAAAAAACTGAAACCAACCATCTTCAAAAGCAGAAATCAAAACGTTGGCTTCTCGGCTGCTCAACCTCGTGAGGACTTGGTAGGTGGTCATGTCGTCAACCTGGTTGAGAAAAACATGGGTCTCACCAGACAAATCATGCACGTAGAGGATGTCGACCACCAGTCGTTGGTTGAAAGCTTTTGCAGGACCGAGAGCCTTTGTGGGCCTTGGTTCTTTGCTGCTGCGAAGCCTCTCGCAGACAGCGCACTTCATAGCTCGCGCGCCGATCAGCGCTGCCGTGGATGCTTGAGCTTGTGAGAGCTGTCGAACCAAGGTGGCATTGCTTGGGTGTCCCAAATTGGTGTGAAGTCGGCGCAAAACACTTTGCATCCAGTGAGGCACGGTCTCCTGATCGATGCCTGGGAACTGAATGTCCTTTGCTCCAGGTTGCCAAGATTCTAGAAGATCTTCGGGCGCAGGAAGTTTTGCTTCTTGTTCACGTTGAACTCGGACTGTCCGTCGTTGAGCGGCTGTGGTCAGAGACAAAGGCTTCCCATAGAGGAAGATTGCCACCCGAACTGCTCGATCGAAGCGAGTCTGCATGTGGCCAACAGGAAGATGTTCTAGAGCTTGGGACTCAACTGAAATCGTGTTGTCCTGGAACAAGAGAATGGCTGCTCGATGCGTGATGTTGGGTGTCTCAAGCAGCTTCCTGGCTGGCATTCTTCGAGCTTTGGGAAGTCGATAGATCTGAGCCAGCTCCAGGTGCCAAGGAACTAATGCCTTGATCTGTTCCAAGAAGGCCGATGGCTTGACATAGGCAGAGACAGCCACTTTTCCTTCCAGGCGTTGAGCCGCCTC